TACAGCTTAATGGTGTAACATTAGAAAATGTTGACCATTTCCACTACCTTGGCAGCCACCTCTCCACAAAAGCCAATATTGATACTGAAATACACACCACCTGAGCTCTGCAAGTGCAGTATTTTTCTGAATGTAGCAGAGAGTGTTTGAGGACTGGGACATCTGTAGAGATACCAAGGTGCTTGGTTATAAAGCTATTGTCCTCCCAACCCTGCTTTATGCTTGTGAAACGTGGACTGTCTATAGACATCACATGCAACTCTTGGAACGATTCCATCAGCGCTGCCACGAAAACCTTGTAAATGTCTTGGGAAGACAGGCAGACAAATGTCAGCGTGCTGGAAGAAGTAAAAACCAACAGTATTGAAGTGATGCTCCTATGCATCAGAGGCTCGTCTTGTGGGCACCAGGGAGAGAGCCTTCTCCTCTTTGGCTCCCCGACTCTGGAACTCATTTCCTGGAGAGATCAGAAAAGCCCCTACACTAGAAACGTTAAAAAAGAACCTTAAAACCTGGCTCTTCCACTGCGCCTTTGGCGAGTAGGTGCACAACATGACACTATTGCTCCACTCAATGCTTCTGTCACTAAAGTACACCCCTCCCCCCCAAAATGGGAAGTTTAGTTTCACAATCCTGTGTTTCTTTATGAGCTCCCTGCAAATAACTTGCTCCTATTTTCATCTGTGTGGGAAGTTTGGGCCAATACTGTCGTTGGTGGGGTTCAGAATGCTCTTCGATTGTAGGTGAACTATAAATCCCAGAAATACAACTCCAGAATGTCAATGTCTATTTTCCCCAAACTCCACCAGTGTTCACATTTGGCCATATTGAGTTTCCATGCCAAGTTTGGTCCAGATCCATAATTGTTTGAGTCCATAGCGCTCTCAGGATATAGGTGAACTACAACTCCCAAACTCAAGGTCAATGCCCACCAAACCCTTTCAGTGTTTTCTCTTGGTCATCAGAGTTCTGTATGCCATGTTTGGTTCAATTCAATCGTTGGTGGAGTTGAGAATGCACTTTGATTGTAGGTGAACTATAAATCCCAGCAACTACAACTCCCAAATTTAAAAAATCAGTAACCACCACCACCACCCCAAACACTACCAGCATTCAGATGTGGGCATATGGGGTATTTGTGCCAAATTTTGTTCAGTGAATGAAAATACATCCTGCATATCGGATATTTACATGACGATTCAGAACAGTAGAAAATGACCGTTATGAAGTAGCAACGGAAATAATGTTATGGTTTGGGGTCACCACAA